CTCCAGGCCCTCACCTCCATGCCCAGCCGCTGCTTCAGCACCAGGGCGGCGCACAGGTACCCTGCGCGGCCCACGAAGAGCTCGTCGGAGCCGCACTCGAGGAAGGAGAGCGGCGCGCAGACCTCGCTCAGCTCCCTGAACTTGCCCAGCGGGCGGGCGAACTCGGGCAGCCCCAGGGCTCGGTAGACCAGCGCTGCCACCGCGTACACCCCGGCGCCGCCCAGCAGGAACGCGGCGCGGGTGTCGGCGTCGGCCTCGCCGCATCCCTCCTGGTACCGCAGGCAGGCGTCCACGACGCGGCGGGCGGCCCGCAGGTACGAGTCCCTTGACGGGGCGAACAGCGGGCACTGCGCGACGTGGTACAGCATGTAGGCCACGCCGGCCACGCCGCCGTACAGCCCGCCCGGGCACCCGCGGGGGCCGCCCAGGGGCGGCAGCTCCCGCAGGATGCGCTCGATGGTGGCCGTCACCAGCGGCACCGCCGCCTCCCTGTCCGGCGCCGCCGCGGGGCTGCCCGGGTAGTCATCGAAGCGGTTGGCGAAGCAGCGCTGGCTCTCCATCCCCGCCGGCGCCGCGCTCTGCGCAGCGGGGGAGAGGCGGGCGGGGGCTGCCGCCGAGGGGGCGGAGGGATGCGCGGGAGAGGCGGGAGGGAGAGGCGGGAAAGGGGCGAGGATGCCGGGCGGGATGCGCGGCACTGCCGAGGCGAGGGTGGGTGAGGCCGGTCGGGAGCCCCGGCAGTGCCAGGGACGGGGCTGGCACGGGGCGGACGGTGCCTCCCCAGCGCCCCTCGCTCTCCGCCGCCCCACCTGCGCCCGGCGAGCGCTTCCTCGGAACGCCTCCCGGGATGGCTGTGGCTGACACGGATCTCCGGACCGCCGGCTCTGGCGTCTGAATCTTCCTTCACAAATGGAAGCTGCACCTTTGCCCGACCCGTCTGTGCATCCCCAGGGAAAAGGGGTTAATTTTGTTTTTCACTCTCCCCCATCCCGCTGCTGCCAGTGGTGCTACCTATTGGCTCAGAAATGAGTTCTGGGTCTGCAGGGGTGATCCAGGGGCAAGGAAGGGTGGCCGGACAGCTGCTGAGTTATTCCTGGCTGTGGAACGGCCCCCCGGGGGCTTCTGCAGCCAAAGCTGAAGGATGTAGCCAAACCCAAATGAGGGCAGCCCGAGGCCAATTTACATGGGAAGCTGAGCAAGTCCCCAGCAAACCAGCAGTGGCACAAGGCCATCTTTGGCCCCTTTCCTTCATGCATAAGCCAAACAGAGCTTATGAGGAATAGAAAATTTAGGTCACTGAATAGATTCCAGTTAAAAGAAAGGAGGGGGGAAAAAATAAGGAAAATCTTGAAGCAGATACTTAGAGCAATTCTTAAATGATACAAATACACAGTTGTCACATCTTCCCGTGATAATGTGAATTTGTGCAGCGTAACTGAATTTATCATCAAAGACTTATGGGCACCTGGTGGTATCCGGTACTTTCTCTGGAGACGCAGCCTCAGTAATTGAGGGCCTTCCCAAAGGAATGTGGAAGGAGCAGCTTGCTGGAGGCTCCAGCCAGTATCCACCAGCTGGCACAGCAGTAGCAAGAGCCAAAGCACTGTCCTTTGGCCATTGGAAGACCTTCCTAGAGTGTTTCTGGCTTCTCTCAGCCTCATGCTGGCTGTTTCAACCCTCTCCTGCCTCCCCTAGAAAGTACCTTCAACTCTGTGCAGCTCCTCACTTGCACTTTCACACCCACTTTCTGATTCAACCCATCCATCCTTTGTCTTTCCTTCCTTTGCCTGGGGTTTGTGATCTACTCAGAGACATTTGCTTTCACCCTCTGATTTCGGTTTCTACACTTTGCTTCGTTGCATTTTTGCCATGTTCACATTCCAGATACCTACCCACTAGTTTGTGTTTGTACAGTGTTCCTTATCCATTTTCAGTCTTACCCACAGCTGTACCATGTGTTGTTTCTGCCACACAGATCTTGCCAATCCAGAGCACTGAAAATGTGAAAATGCCTCACCAATAGATAGGACATCTAATTCATACAGTATTTACTGTCATAAACTGGATCCTGTCGGCCCACTGATAGGGTTTGGGGTGTAGCTAAGGATTTTCCAGCATAATTTCTATTGGTGTAGAGAAACGTGTTCCCTACACGCTCTTTGAAGTGAAAATCTGGGAGTTTTGTTTTTCATTCTGACACCATTTATTCCACATTTTGTGGATGATTGCTTCATCTTTCAGCATTCTTTTTCAAATTAAAAGAACTGGTAATTTCCATCAGTATTCTGGGGTGGGAGAAACGAAGATGGCAGTTTCTGTTGTACTTCTTTTGTATGAGTATTAACCACCTAAGCCAAAAGGAGAGATACATTAAAAAACCCCACATGCTTCTTATAGCTGTAAAACCCCCAAATCTTAAACTACTCCTGTTTTCGTTTACAAAAGTTTCATGTTTTCAGATGGGTTGTGTTCTGTACCTTTTTTTCTCAAACAAGCACAGTTGCAGTCCTGATACAAGTGGAGGAGGAGAAGGGTTGATTATCAAGTGTAGATCATGTGTCTCTCACCAGATCATCTGAGATTTGCCTTTCTGTTGGGTCCCAGAGTAAGTGTGGGCCTCCAGTGTGGGCCCTCAGTTTGAGAAAAATGTGAATTCCCCCTTCTCGCTCCTCTGCACTGCTGCAGCTCCCTGGTTTGTGCTCTCTGGGCATGCCATTTCTCCCCTTTGGCTTTTTAAATCTGATGCTGCAAGCCAAGGAGCGGGAAAGAAATTATGGATTTTCCAAGGAAAGGATATGATACTGGTGTGGTGGGTGGAGGAGGCAGCTGAAGCCTCGAAGCTGTTTATTCTGTTTTACTGAATACACCATTATGCAACACATATTCTGGAGATTTGCTTTTTACATGTTGATAAAATGTCTAATCATAGAATAATTCCGGTTGGGAGGAACCTTAGGATCTAGTCCCACCTGTGCTTAAAGTAGGGCTTATTGGTGTGCTTGTTCATGTATGCTTGTTCACTTCTGCTTGCTTATTTACAGATTCCTTCAAGGAATCTGTGCCATCTGATATTTCTGACAGAGCACAATAGTCTGTCTTCTGTTGTCGTGTGGGGACTGGAGGCATCTCCTAATAAATGTCTTATTGATTATTCTGGCACTTGTCTTGTATGCGTTTTACTGATGTTACAATTTTGTATGCCTTCAGGATTTTTGGATGCCCACGTGGTTACCAGTTTCATTCTTACCCAGTGTTCCACATTTCTCCTGAGCCTCAGGTGAAGCGCTGAGCTCCACACACACAGTCTGAGCTTCAGTGTATTAAGTGGTGTGAACACATTAGCAGGGTTGTGCTAGAGGGTCTGAATATTAAATTCAGAATCAGTTCCTACCGTACATATTAAAATGAGCCATCAGTAACCTTCACTGCCCAGTGCTGCTCTTACCTCCACAGAGAGTTTTGCCACCGTAGGCCAGTTTTGCAGTTAGCTCCTCTCCCTGCCTGGCTGGGCTTTGTCCTGGGAATCCACACTCCTATCCAAGGGGCTCTGGGTCTTACAGGGTCACCTCTGTCCCAGCCCTGTAGTCCATTCACGTTTGGTGGGCACCTGGCCCTTGGGCATTTGGCAGGAAGGAATGAATTAAGCAGAGCTGTTTCATGTCCACATTAGAACAGAAGTACTTGTATTTCCAGTGTTCTCTCTTGAGGGCTCTTGAAGGGGAAATTACCACTGCACTGCAGATACCATGGCAGTAGCCAAAATACAGAGGAGTCTGACTGGGAGTCATGCAGTGGAGGCAGCCCCAAGGGTTTCATGGCATTGTCATTCAGTTGCCACATTGCCCCAGCAGTTTCTGGCTGCTCAGTATATTCTGGTTTCTTACTATAAGCATTTTTTTCCTTTTCTTGGGTTGAACTAACCTGTTCTGTATGGACTCCACTTACAAAGGAACACAAAAGGTTTGGTTTTTTTTGTTCCATGATGATCAATTGACAGTGATGTGAAGACATGTTTTAAAAATTAAGTGCTTCTTGGCATTGTACAATGGAATCTCTTCCTAAGTCGACCTTTTTTTTTCTGCTACTTGTGTGTAGTGTATAATACAAACACAGTTTCTACATGAGGCAAGTTTTAGTGCCTATATTGCCATTCACTGTACCATTGCCACAATGAAAATTACACATCAGAAGATGGGGATGCACTGAATTACTTTTTTCTTCAAGGGCACAGTGAATTTCTGTCTACTGCTCAGTTTCATAAAATTTAGGAATTGAACAGCAGTTTAATTTCTTTGAGACTCTGCCTTTATACCCAAGTATGGTAGAAATTGGCCGACAGATGAGAAATTTCAGCATAGTGGGAAATGTTGAATAGATACTGGACAGTCATGCATGATCATGCAAGCCTTGCTTCCTGAAGAGACAAGACTAGAATGTTTTTGGGTTTTTTTGGGGGGTTTTGTTGTTTGTTTTTTTTTCTTTTTATGAGAATGTGCAGAGAACAACTTATAGGTTCTTGTAATAAGATACTGAAAGAGTGAGCAGAAATCCTCATTGCCTACAGAATTGATTTTTATTACAGAATATTACATTTTCTATTTTGAAACGTAGGCTAATTTTGGTAATGGTTTCAGCTTAGATAAAAACATAGCCTTTATGGAGTCTCTGAAGAGAATATTGCAGTTTTTAGTATCTCTATGTCATCCTACTTGTGATGAGTGAATCACATTTCAGCTGTTGACAAATGCCAGGACTTTCTGCAGAGCAGGAGGTTTGAAATTTGGAGTTTTGGTTTAGGTGATAAAAATCCAGCTTCAAAATGGCACTACCTTGACCCTATCCTGAGCTTTTTCCATAGGCTTTGGTACTTCTGGTGTTCCTTTCCTTGGCTCAAACCTAGTCAGACTAACAGGATGGCAGAACTCTTTCCTGCAGATGTGCCTGGCACAATCCACACTTTCTTTGTCCAGCAGATTATGTCCACTTTTTCACGTTCAAGGTGATTTCTAATGAACCATGAGTACTCTTGTGCACTTGGAGAGCAGTAGTTCACCTGCAGTTCTCTGCCTGGTTTGATATTGTCTACTGGAATAAGGAAGGAAAAAAATCCCAGTGGATACTGTTGATATTAAAATGAACTAGTTATTTTTCATCTCAGTAATTACACTATACTATGACACTATATACAACATATACTTTAAATTCTAAGTTTCCTTAAGTGCACCTTTTCTACAACAGATGTCAGTGTGATATCCAAGATTTTAATTGTAACATTTTTTGTCACAGTCGGAATTTGGAAGCATTTCAAAGTACAGGAATGAAAATCAATATCAGAGATCAAGTAGTCCATTTTGCTATTGCCTTTGTGCTGGCTCATCTCAGTAATTGCTGTGATGGAAACAATAGACAAAAAAAATGACGTTTCTACTTGCCAGGGCAGGGACCTCACCAGTGGGTGCACAGCAGGCAATGAAGAGAGCTGGGGACAGTGACTGGGCCCATGGCAGCCCTGGGACCTCAGCACAGCCACAGGCACTGAGTAGTAATGCCCATTGTTGGGATT